TCGGTTGCTAAATTAAATTAAAAGTCAAATATTTAGAAAAAATTATATGAAAGATCATAAGAAAATTATCCGTGTTGACAAGAAAATTTGAAATCGTAAGAGCAATAGATGCGAACAGATGTACAAATAAAATTTTTTTGAAGACTATCAAGGATTGTTAAAATAATAAAATTAAAATTATTGATTATTAATCTTTAAATACAGTAAAATAATTGCGGATTCTTTAGTAGAACTAATAACGATTGGTAAGATGGCGAGAATCTCATGCAATTATGTCCTTAAAGCAAAATTGTCTAATATATCATTCAAGCATAATACCAGTAGGAATTTTATATGAGACCATTTTTAAGTACATTCCAGACAAGAACAAATATCTATATTATATTTTTTTGATCCACAAACAGAACAGAAAAAGAGTTACGCACAGACAAAAAGTGCTAAAATTAATGAATTAATAAAATTATTCCTTCTATTTTTAAACTTCCGAAAACGACCCACGCTCGATTGTCACGAATTTTTGTAGAAACACTGTAAATGATGTTTAATGAATGTCTAAGAGGATTTTTACCGATACAAATATTTAATGCTAAAAATATTTGGTAATTATTTATTTATACTGACTACTTCCCGATTTCAATAATTCTCAAATATGTTATCAAAATCATTACTCTGAGTAATGGTATAAAGATTTTAGTCGACGGTTGTTTATTAAAAAGTTATAAACAAAAATGTCTAATGAAAAATATGTAATTTTATGACACCGTGTACAAACTATGTTGTCGTTTGACATTGTTTACCTTTCTTATATTGAAATCAGATAGTAGAACAATGATAGGCTTCTATGTTTTTGATATTTCTTATGACTTTGAAAATATTTAAGAAAAGGTGAGTTAGTACAAGACAGATTGTTGTACACTTAACATGAAGTTCTACAAGTTTCTCGCTTTAACAACAAAATATGATAACTTACTTAACTATTTGTGTGCGAAAAATGTTACATTTGAAACTATCTATATAAAGTAAAGTGTATCTCGCATCACAAACACGGATTGGGCAAGGTTATATCTTCTGAAAGTGGAGCCCCCTGCAAGGGGAGTGAAACACGCTGTCCACGCATGTACTTTCCAAGATGAAGCAAAGTTCATTTAATCAAGATTAAGTGAACTTTGCTTCATCTCTCTATTAAGAGTAAATTTTGCTTCATTTTAAGTACGTAGGTACAATATATTCCGTCCCCCTGCGGGAGGCTCCACTTTCAGAAGATTTAACCTAACCCAACCTGTGTTTGTGATGCGGGATACACTTCACTTTGTAGAAAGTTACAAATCTATGTGAAATTATGCAACAATTGACTTTTCTTTCGATAAATATGTTAATGAACTTATGAAACTTCTTTTGTTTATATCTTTTAATAACCAATGACCGCCGACTAAAATCTTCACAACATTACTTAGAGTGATGATCTTAATAACATATATCTCGCTTCGTGTGGAAAAGTATATGCGTGGACCTAATGGCTTCTGCCCCTCGCAGGGGGACACCACTATCAAAAAACTAGACACATAGGTTCAAGTTGCACCTCGCTTCGCGTGGAAAATTGCAAACCCATGTGGAACTTCGCTTAGGGTAAAAAAGTCTATGCATGAACACATTGGGTTCCGCCCCTTCCTGCGGAGGGCTCCACTATTAAGAAATTAGACACAGATTCGGGTTGCATCTTGCTTCGCGTGGAAAGTTGCAAACCTATGTAGAACCTCGCTTCGCGTGGAAAAATGTATACGTGGACATTGAATTCCGCCCCCCTTATTTAAATGTTGTTAGCAAAAGTCGGTAAAAATCCGTTTAAGGACATTTATTTGACATCATTTTGTGTCTGTTCAGAACAGTGTTTGTTCGAAAAACATAAAAATCATCCCGGATTAAAATTCTCATAAATTTCCAAATAATAATTAATATTCGCTAATTTGAGAATTTAAATTTAACAGGCATCAAGAATCTTCTCGAGCTTTCGATCCATCAGAAAAACTCGACCGTTCCCGTTATCTCTCATTTTTTCATTGCCTAAAAGAAACGCTCATAAACGTTTATAATAACATTGTCAACCGTCGACAAAATCAGCGTAGCGTACGGCATGCGTGCCCATACATCACGATCAGCTGATTGCCAATCAGCTGATCGAAAAAGATTGCGTGCATGACAATCAAAGAACTTTCAGACCTTATCGGCGGCCAATTATACGCGGCGCCCTGAGGTCACCGCTAAATTACAAAACTTATTGGCCTACGTCGCCAAGAGCCCTAAAATCTGCTCGCTATAAAACGGACACGTGAGCACTTTGCAATTCGTACTTGGCATTTAGCATTCGCAGAATTTTCCGCAAGTAAAACCGCTCTTAGTCTAACCAACTATTGCTTCTCATTTAACAATGATTTCGTACAAAATTCTCTGACATTATGTATGATGAACACTAGACAATTCTACTCTAAGAATATAACTACATGAAATTGTCACCATCTTGTCAACTATCTATTGGCTAAGGAATCCATATTTATCTTATTACGCTTAAGTATTGGTAATCATTAATTTTAATTTTATTATTTTAACAATTAAGCGTCTTTAAAAAAAATTTTATTTGTACATCTCTGTTGACCGTTCTTATGATTTCAAGTATTTTGTCAATACGAAGAATTTTCATGACTTTTTCTAAGCGTTTGATCTTTAATTTATATTCGCGACAAACTTCTGTTTACATTTTTATTAAAGTTTGTAACGATTTATTGACTATCTATTGGCTAAAGAATCCATATTTATCTTATTACGCTTAAATATTGGTAATCATTAATTTTAATTTTATTATTTTAACAATTAAGCGTCTTTAAAAAAATTTTATTTGTACATCTCTGTTGACCGTTCTTATGATTTCAAGTATTTTGTCAACACGAAGAATTTTCATGACTTTTTCTAAGCGTTTGATCTTTAATTTATATTCGCGACCAACTTCTGTTTACATTTTTATTAAAGTTTGTAACGATTTATTTATTATTTATATATTCATATATTATTTATATATTGCTCACTGAAAAGAATCCCAAAGTGAGAATTGAAATGTTTGGTTTCATATTGGTATAATGTAATGTTATCTACAGTGATGGGAAAAAGTTCCGGGACGGCTGGAATTTGAAAAATACGCATCACAGAGGAAAATGACCTAGACAAAAGTTGTAGGATTTTTCCCGGGCAATCTGACCTTAGATTTAACCTTGGATAGTCATTTGAAGGTCACATAAAGATTACCTTCAATTTCTTAAATGGAACTCCCTATTTTTCATTGCATATTCTTGTAGCTTATCTCGAGAGCTTTCCAAAACACTATAATTAAGTACCTTTTTATTAAGTACTTTTCGAGTTATGAGGCTTGAAATAATTTCTTAATTTTACATAAACCATAAAATATCTAGTAAACCATTCATTTTTCGATTATCTTACCTTCATACTTTTATGTACAAAATAATGAGAGGAATCAATTGGTGTAAAGAAAACACATAGTTGTTTCTAAGAAAAAATATGTAATTTGCAATTAATTATTATACTTAACAATTCCATATTTTTTCTTAAAAACAACTGTATGTTTTCTTTACACCAATTGATTCCTCTCATTATTTTGTACATAAAAGTATGAAGGTAAGATAATCGAAAAATGAATGGTTTACTAGATATTTTATGGTTTATGTAAAATTAAGAAATTATTTCAAGCCTTATAACTCAAAAAGTACTTAATAAAAAGGTACTTAATTATAGTATTTTGGAAAGCTCTCGAGATAAGCTACAAGAATATGCAATGAAAAATAGAAAGTTCCATTTAAGAAATTGAAGGTAATCTTTATGTGACCTTCAAATGACTATCCAAGGTCAAATCTAAGGTCACCGTCGGATTGCCCGGGAAAAATCCTACAACTTTTGTCTAGGTCATTTTCCTCTGTGATGCGTATTTTTCAAATTATCCAGCCGTCCCGGAACTTTTTCCCATCACTGTATATATTTAATACATATTCACACGCATTTATATCTGCTATTTGACTAATATTTTTGTGTTTATATTATAATTTTAGATTTATATCTTTGTGTCTCATTTCGATATTAATTGAAAGATAAATTATTGATTACATACGCGCGTTTTGTTTTCAATATTTTTCTTATTTTATCCTAATACTTTATTAAGTATATTTTATTAAAAATAAAAAAAATAGATATTTAATTAAACATGTGGGGAAGAGACGGAGTACTCCTTTTACATTTCTATTCTAAAAAAATTTTTAATCCATTTTGTATATTAAAATTATATTTAGGTTAATTTTTTTCAGAGTAAATGTACAAAGGGAAAAAAACTTTTCTCCTCAATTAAATGTTTGTTTATATACAAGGTGTTCTAGCACATGCCAAAAGAAAACCATAAGTAAACTCACTAAACTGAACTAAAAAGTTATGTACTATTTTGCAAGTAACCACATCAAATTTCGAAATATTAATTTAAAAAGATTAGCCAATTCACGTGAGTGAAAGTACACAACGAAAAAGAACGTTCACTGTAACTTGATACCAAATGCGCGGGGAAACGGCAAGTGGGGCGCTCTTCAAATCATGATAACAGCGCGCAACATTTCAACGTTACGTTGGTGAACCTCCAGTAAGTCCACCGCTTTAATGTAAAAATTTAGCTCTATTTTCCTTTCTTGTATTTTTTTGTGTTTCCCCGACGGAATCTTATAATGCATAATGTCGCTATATTCAGAGAAAAGGAATCTACTTCACGATTAAGAATTCGGACATTTAAAATATTTATTACTCCGATTTTTACAATCAAATTAAAATTATATCTTTTCTATTCTTCCTTTAAAAATACCTGCATTTATTGATTAGTTGAGATGTGAAGATTCAATTTCTATTATATTTCAAAAATTTAAAGAGATGTCTATTTTTTACATAAAATGTTCATATCTTACCTTAAGAGTAATGGTGTATCAATATAAAACCGAACTCGAAAATATAGCACAAAAGCTGGTCTTCCGCTGCTGTCTAAACCCTGAAAATAATATGTATATATTAAATATTAGAAAATAATTAACAGTAAATTTAATAATGACAAATATTTCATATTATTCTGATAATGGCTATTATACTATTACAAATATATTATTATATAATTATATCATTATAATTATATAATTATACCAGAAATATATATACTGTTGGAAATATACAGGGTGTTCCAAAAGTCCGGGACTGGTCGAATACTTCATAAACTAGGCACTTTAAAAAGAAATGTTTCAGATAAAAGTTGTATGGTTTGAAGGGGGCCATCAGATAGTGGCAATGATTTGATATGGAAGAGTCATTTGAAAGTCAAAGTGAAGATCACCGTCAATTTCTTAAATGGAACTACTTTTTATTAAATAATTTTATTAAATATTCTGGTAGCTCACGTCGACAGCTTTCCAAAATACTATAATTAAATTAGTTTTCATTAAGTATTTTCCGAATTATGAGGCTTGAAATTATTTCTTAATTTTACATAAACCGTAAAATATCTTGTAAAATATTCATTTTTCGATTATCTTACCTTAATACTCTTATGTACAAAATAATGAGAGGAATTAATTGGTGTAAAACACATAGTTGTTTTAAAAAAAAAATGTAATTGTTAATTGCAAATTACATATTTTTTTCTTAAAAACAACTATGTTTTTCTTTACAAGAATTGATTCCTCTCATTATTTTGTACATAAAAGTAATAAAGTAAGATAATCGAAAAATGAATATTTTACAAGATATTTTACGGTTTATGTAAAATTAAGAAATGATTTCAAGCCTCATAATTCGGAAAATACTTAATGAAAACTAATTTAATTATAGTATTTTGGAAAGCTCTCGACGTGAGCTACCAGAATATTTAATAAAAAATAGTTACATTTAAGAAATTGATGGTGATCTTCACTTTGACTTTTAAATGACTTTCCCATATCAAATCATTGCCACTATCTGATGGCCCCCTTCAAGCCATACAACTTTTGTCTGAAACATTTCTTTCTAAGTGCATAGTTTATGAAATATTCGACCGGTCCGGGACTTTTGAGACACCCTCTATATAATTATAAACTCTCTAAATTTTTCCAAGTGAAAACTTGACTCTTTATTCGAGTGAATGCACTATCAACTCTTAACAGAGTGACTTTACACTTCTTTTCATTCGAAACAAGTGAAATCTGTGACTCGAACTCCACGAGTGAAAATATCCTTAATTATTCACTCGAAGTGTTGGAGTGAATTTTAGCACTCTGGCTCCGAGTAACTCGAATCGAGTAAAAATCCACTTGAACGGAGTGACTCAGTCGAATAGCCGCGCAAGAGACGTGACGTGTTATACTACGTGAGTCATCATCACGTTCTGAAAAAAATACAGAACAATATTTATAGAAGTACATAGGCAGAATATTGTTCGTAAAATTTATAACAATTTTTTTCTTTCATATGAAGTTCACTTTATAACAATTGTGGGCGAGTAGTTATATTACATTCAGTACATGCGCAGACACAAGTTTGACTACGTAGGTTATGATGCCATATACTGTAATTGCCACGTTGATAGCTGCTTTGTTGGAGGGAGAAGCTGGGCGCTCATATTTGTTTGTCTGCTTGAATATTTCAAAGAATTGTGGATATTATATAGTGAATGCTGAGTTTTGTGAATATCGTGCTGTTGTGAAAAAAAAACATGTTTCCTGAAGTAAGTATAACTTCACCACATGGCATTTCTATATGTTATTTTAGAGCGTTTTTAGGTTAATTTGCTAAAAAAATGTTCAGAGAAACGTTTATACTTAAAACCTCATCTTTGATAGCACGAAATTAAGATTTATTGCTTAAAAAATGTTTATTGAGAAGAAAAATCGTAAAACGTTATATTTCAGTTTGTGTTTGAAGAATTATCAAGATCTGTTATCTCTTTGTTGCATCATATAAGCCTTAGAGTAAAATAAATTTTGACTTTCTTTAAAGAAAAGATAAAATATGAAGACTTTCTGTTTTTATTCTTCATTCGAATTACTTAGTTTGTTTCATATATGGGCATTATTATTTGATAAAACTTAGTTAGCATTTGATGAAAATTAATTGTTTGTCGTAATGGGAACAAATCTAAATAATATATTTATTAAAAAAATAAATTATTTAGAAAAAAAGTCAACTAATTATCTTTAAATAAATTTTTATTTGAATAACCAAAAAAAAAATTTTTAATTAATTTTAAGAAAAAATATTTTTTAAGCAATTTTTAATAGCAACTTATATATTCTTTTATATATAATAAAAAACGTTAGTAACATTAAATACATAATGAGCTATAGTTTACAATAAATATATAAACAGCATGTATAATGACAATTCTAGATGAAATTAAAAATTTATTTGATAATTTATATTGAGATTATATTTGAAAATAATTTATTTTGCAAATAATGTATTTTTAAATGCTTTTTTTATTTGCATAGAATCTCAATATAAATTCTCAAATAAATTGATTAATTTTATCTAATAGAACTGCTATTAAACATGTTGTTCATGTATATATTATCTATTTATTATAAACTATAGCTCATTATGTATTTAATGTTACTAACGTTTTTTTATTATTTATAAAAGAATATGAATTGCTATTAAAAATGGTTAAAAAAATTTTTTTTTCAAAATTAGTTATTTTTTTTGGTTATTAAAATAAAAATTTATTATAAGATAATTACTTAAATTTTATTTAACTAATTTATTTTTAAATAAATTATTTGGATTTGTTTTCATTATGACAACTAACTTTTAAATATTGTTTGCAAATAACATATAAAAAATTATTTAAATATTTTATTTTCAAATATTTTTTATTTCTTAATCAAATAAAAAGTTCCCATGACTGGTTTGTTTTTAACTTCCAATAAATTAATTCCAAATGTTTCAGAATGCAATGATGGACCCTGAGGTTTTGGCCATATATCTTAAAAATAGAGGAGTTAATGAGAACACAATCAACGTTTTATTGAGTATGTATCAATTTGGTAAGACAGAAAAGTAATGTAGCGTAATAATATTGTTGTTTTCTTTAAGGTCTTGTTAAGTTATTTGAATATGTCTAGTGGTGGATTAATTCTAGACTCCTAAACTAAATATTATTTTATATAAATATATAAATATTTAAATATTATTTCAGATCTTGATTTGTAAATTTATTTAAATATCTATTGGTTGGTTAATTTTAGATCTATAAACGAAGTGTCTCTTGTTATTTTACTATTATTGTTAGTTTACAATCAAACTATGTCACCAATGGAAAGCTACACTTGTTTAATGTGTCATAAATTTATTCCGAATGAATTAAAACATTTCACAGTTCATTTAAGATATTCACATAGTTTGTCAGTGTCAGCTCCCTATAGTTTTGGATATTAATGTGGACAAGATGAATATCAATGTGTTTTTAAAAATTTCAATGATTTGATTAGACATCTTTGTGTTAAACAATTGTAAAGAACAGAAGTAATGAGTCATTTTTATTTCAAAATCATATGGAGGTAGACTCTAATAAAGATCCTGAGCAAGATAGTTATTGTAGTGTGCCTGAGAGTAACAATTCTAAAGATAAATTTCAAAAAGTGTTTAGTGTAGCAGGAGAGGCTGCACAAATGGTTGCTCACCTTAGATCTAAAGCATTTATCACAGGGGCTAGTTTGACTCAAGCTTGTATGGCAGCAGAGGTTTTTGTTTGTAACATTGCAAACTTTTTTCAGCAAGAAGTTAGGAATTATTTTTCAAGTAAGGATATATCATTGAATCAGGCTGATATTCAAAATTTACTCTCTAAGTTTGAGATTTCTGCTCCTTTTAATAAATTTTCATCCATTGAAAAACAACTGAAAGCTTTAAAAATGTATTATAGATTGATAGACTCCGTTGAGATTCCGTTTGGAGATCGTTATGAATCAGTGCTGAATAGACAATCTGGTGAATACGAACCAAAGTTAGTTATTGAAAGTTTTCAATATGTTCTAATAATTGAGAGTCTTAAATTAATACTTTCTCATTCAAGTGTTAGAAAATATATTGAAGAAGAATCTTCTTCTTCAGATAGATTTATGAGGGATTTTAGAGATGGGGAAAGCTTTAAAAAAAAATCCATTTTTTCAGAGATATCCACAAGCATTAAAAATCCAATTATATTGATGATGATATAGTTATCAACAATCCTCTAGGAAGTAAAACATCAGCTTACAAATTAGGAGCATTTTACTTCACTATTCAAAATTTGCCTCCTCATTTGCAATCATTTATGGGAGGAGTTCAAGTTTTGGGATTTTATTACACAACTGATGTTACTAAATATGGTTTTAAGAAAATTTTTAGTCCATTTCTTGATTATTTGAATAAGTTGGAAAGTGAAGAAGGAGTTATAATAAGTTTTGATGGAGAACCATTTGTATTGAGGGCCACAATAGCTTGTGTAGTTGCTGATGGTTTGGCTGCACATCAGATGTTCGGATTCTTGGGTCCTTCTGCTAATCACTTCTGTCGTTTATGCATGATACATAGGTCTGATCTCCTTAGGGGAAAAGTAGAAATTAAAAATTCAAGAACGAGTGAATTGTATGATAAACAAGTACGGAAAGTCAAATCAAAGCTATTGACCGATACTGAAACGGGTTTAAAAGAAAATAGTTCATTACATAGAAGTGGTTTCTGGCACTGCGCAGAGAATTTCGTTTTTGATTCAATGCATGACATTTGGCAAGGTATTGCACCTGTAGTTCTTGAGTATGTAATCAAACATTTTATTAAGAGAGAGAATAGATATAACTTGACTTTGACTGAGTTAAACAATCGAATACAGATGTTTCAGTATGGTATGCCAGAAAAGAAAAATAAGCCGTCACCTAATTTTACTCTCACTAATTTTTACAATTTTTACAATTTTTTTTTGGTAACCCGATTCAGCAGAAAGCTGTGCAAACATGATGTCTTTTGAGAATATTTCCTTTCTTGGTC